TGGCAAAAAAAATAAATAAATAAATAAAAATAAAAATAAATATATATATATATATATATATATATATATAATGAGACAAAAAATGTTGCATATTTTGTATATTTTACATATTTGTTAACCATATCTTTCTAAAATAGTTAACCAGTAACTTGCCACATTTAGAGATGACTTATGACGGGCCACTAAGCAACCGCCTTGCAACCACATAACAAAATGCTAAAAAACACTCCAAATACATTAGCAACAGCATAGCAGTGGTTTTTGCCTGGACAAACACCACTAATCTAGTTTTCTTTCATTGCTCAGGTTTTTGCAGTTGACTGGAGTCCTGACGGACAGAGAGTGGCCAGTGGTGGAAAAGACAAGTGTTTAAGGATGTGAGTGACCCTACATCCTGCACAGATTATTTATTTCCACACACGCACAATGCGGTGTGCCACGCCACCTGGTAGGAACACCTGGCATGTCTTATCTTCTGTTCCCCTTTAGATGGAGGAAGTAACCCAGAGAAACCAGCGGCTCCTGGCTCTGCATGCAACAGCCAATCAGGCGTCTCAAAGCATCACCCCACAGCATGGTGGACAGCAGTGTCGGAGCATTAAGCCTTAGCCTATTTGTCCAATGAAACCGCTTCGACAGCATCACAATAGCTGAAATATAATGCTCTCTGATGTTGTCGGGCCAGATAGCGGGAAGATAAAACGCTGCCTTTTTTGCCCCACTCAAATAAGCAATTGCCCTGTGGAAGTGCAGGCGAACTGACCCAGTCTAATCAGTGTAATCTTTCTCACACACATTTGTAATTAACTTAATCCCTAATGCTGCGATACAGGCGGCATTAACTGGGTCTGTTCCAGTGCCTAGAGATAACCAGCGTCGTCACAGTGGACCGTACTACGTCAGCAGATGTTTTCTCATTTAACAAGCAGTAAAAGGATTTTTATGGGACCCGTGTCATGTGGCTTTCTTATCTTGAATGAACAACTGTAGAGCATCAAAAGCAGTTTGTTGTTATCGCACAGAACATATATGACTTGAAGAGTCTTAAGATGGAATTCAAAGAGTTCGGATCGATTGATCAATATTGGCTACTCAATAAGGTCACAGGGACGGGAAACTGACCCTTTTTGGTTTATTGAATCTGTGTTGAATTGGTTGTGAAGAAGCACTGCTTATATATCGGACAAGAAAGCAAAAGTAGCATGACTAGTACAGAATAAGCAACCTTTGTGGGAAATGCTTGTGTTAACGACAAAGAAGCTTATAAACAAATTGTGCAACTTAAAAAAAAAAAAAAGCTGCCATTTACATTGTATAAAAAAACATCAAGTTTGAATGCCCTGGTCTTCATGATTGCACTCAACATGCAAGTTTTATATCGAGTATTACGAATGTCTGAGCCTTGACCAGTTTTAAAACTTGCGGCAACATCACGATACATTTGACTTCTTAGAAAAGCACATTTTCAGAGCTGTATATGTAAACTAGGACAAAAGAACATGTGCATTACATTGATATTTCTGCGTACTTGGTTGTGCTATTACATTTCATGCCACATAAGTAGACTGTCTCATGACAACCTCTATAAAAGCATGGTGGTGAGAAGACACTTGCACGATTTTACCGACGTGCAAACTGATGAAACGCTTGCTCATGTATCAATATTTTTGTGCGTCAATAAATATACCGTAAGCTACAGGTTCTTTCTCGTGGCTCAAGCTCCTGGCTTCAACTATACAGACACAGATGGATGGTTTAAATCCTCTAGGCCAGAGGTCACGGTTCAAGTCTGGATCTTTAGACTTGACTGACGCGGCCAACTGTGTGTGGATAGTTCAGTCTGTCTCGATCAGTTCTGCAACCTGGTCCGTCTTCAGTCTGTTCTCCAGACATTGTTCAGTAGCTTTACAACCTCCTCGTAGAGAACAAAGACAATGGCCATGAAAGGTTTTGATCCACTTCAAATGTTGACTACTGTATATTTCAATATTAATATTAGTATATATAATATGTAAAGTGTGTGCATAGTATGCAAATATTCTATATGCTATGAATATCTACATTAGTGTTTGTATTTAGTATTAAATGGATTCAGTGACACAGACCCATAGTGTACTTCCAGCAGTGTACACTAGAGGGCACTCAAATCTCATCAGCGCTGGCATATTTTGCTTGTCTGTGCATGGCAACAACCCAGAGTTTCTTGAAATATAACGTCAAACACATCAATATGTTTTCTCTAACTTCGTGAAAGTGTACGACTGTATAACTCTCATTTTTTGTTGTTGTTGTTTTTCCAGGTACCTGACCTCACTTCGCGGTCATGTGGGGCCAGTGTACCAGGTGGCGTGGTCGGCAGACAGCCGTCTATTGATCAGTGGCAGTAGTGACAGCACCCTGAAGGTGTGGGACATCAAGAAGGGCAAACTGAACGCAGATCTGCCTGGCCACGCTGATGAGGTGAGACACTGAATGGATTTAGTTCAGAGGCTGGAGTCTTGCACAAATGCCAGAGCTTTAGATTGACTTCACTTTTTCAGTACACCTACATCAGTTATTTTAGTAGCATTTATATATTATTATAATAGTCATTATTTATAATATTTACGTTAGTAATATTTTTTTAAGATGTAGTAATTTTATGTGCTTTTGTCATTTTGTCAAATCTCTATATATATATATTTCATATCAGCCTTATTTAAATTTCATTTTTATTTTTATATTTTATATAGCTTTAATTTTTTTTTTTTTTTTTTTGTAGAACCTGTGATGCAAAGTGAAAAAAAGTGTTAAGGAGAGGTCATGCGAATTTTCAGTGTCACTTCAATAGGATTTCATGTGAGCTTCAAGAGGGTCACACGAGGGCGAAAGATTTTCCGATGCAGATTTTGCATCAGGTTCAGAGACCGCAGCTTAGAAGAACAGGTGACCCAAAATACTGTTATCATTTTTCGAGCTTTCAAGTCGAAGAACCAGACAGTCGCTGGTCTCCATTAACTTCCATAGTATGGAAAAAAAAATACTATGCAAGTCAATGGAGACCAGAAAATCTTTTGTTAGACATTTATACAGATTTGGCACAGCTCAAGGGTGAGTAAATGACAGAATTTTCATTTTTGGGTGAACTATCCCTTTAAAGGGGTCATATGATGCTGTTTTTTTTTTTTTTGGGGAATTTTAGTACTTCAACTTAATATTTCATTTAGTTGCCTAGGCAACAATTCTAATAGTTTTTTTTTTTATGTAATTTTCCATTTAAAATATTTTTATATTGGCTTTAATTTCAATTTCAGTTTTTTAAGTTTAAATGTTTTTGTTATGGGCTTTAAACATGTTATTGTTTTTTATTTCTATATAGCTTTTATTTATTTATATTTTGTAGAAATAAATTAATACAATATCTTAAACATTTATTTTGGTTAGTTGCCATGGTAACGGTTCTAAAATTATTAAAAAATGTCTACATTTTTATTTTTATTATTTGTTTTAAAAAAAATTTTGGGTAGTTTTAGTGAACTATGACAACAGTGACCTACATGTATTTTAAAATTAAATTTGTTTTATTTAATTCAATATTAGGATTATCATGGATATTTAAAACCTGAACATACAAGGGAATTTTAAAATTTAAAAATGCATGGAAAATTATATTATATATATTAATTT